GTAAACTTTCCACGCTTATAACTTCGGTAATAGTGCACCGATCGATGTGAAATAAAAACTAGAATTATGTGTTTGGTCTAGACTTTTTACCTACGTACTTAAAAGTCTAATATTGTAACCTTGTTATCTTCTCCATTGTTTTGGTATAACTAACAATTTTTCTAGGCCCTTGAAGAGTATACCTCCTTCTTCTGAGTAATCCTTGTACGACTTCTCTTTAAGTATCTCTTTGATTGCTTTATTGCCATCGTCCTGATCCTGCGCTTGTTTAATCTGATCTCTTAAGGATGTTACTGTAGCTACATATGGATGTTGGCTAAGAGCATCTGCATGACGCATTTTCTCTCCGGCTCGGTGCTCCACTTCAAAGTCATATTCTTCATGCATCAGGACCCATCTTGCTACTTTTGCTGTTAGATCTTTCTTCATTAAGGTTTGCTGAAAAGCTTTGCAATCGGTTATTAACTTGAAATGTTTTCCGTAGAGATAAGGACGGAAGCGCCTAGGCCGCTGTGCTATTGGTATGTCATCCTTCAGCACAATCTAAGTTCCAAGGGGGCTCTGTAACCTGGACTGGATTGTAGTTATCCACACAACTGTAAACCTCCTGTTTAATTAGTGGATTCTTGACATGCTCCACAAGATTTTCTTTTTCACCTGTAAAGCAATTCACACTCGCTAACCACTCATTCTCATTCTTAAATATAGTCACACTTCCCTCACTCATCAACAACGTTACATCTTTCAAAAACTCGTGACCTATAATAAGGCATACAGTCTCTAGATATAATGTGAAACGTAACTCCTTCGTAAGATTGTCCATCGATCGAAATTAGCGTCGTAATTTTGCCTAAGGATCGTATCTGTACACTGCTCAAATCCGTCAATGTTAGACCGCCTACATTTAACTCGACGTTGAATAATTTAGCACATAATTCTGCCGAGATCAGGTTCACGTCACTACCTGAATCAATTAGCGCTTTTGAGCTATAATCCTCCGCCACTTTCACAATTTTCACGGGTTTTCCGACATTTTTTGCGCACTGAGAACTTTTGTTTACTATTTGCATCACTTCAGAGCTACTCGGTAGGAGTGGTCGTTACAAAACGTAACTAGTTACTGAAACTATCTATTCACACAATAGCGGGTAGCGGGTTATTGCAGTGCAACGAAAATATCTATTACAGTAGACGTTTTACTCAGTAACACGATTCACGTATTCACGAATCACGAACGAGCGATCAGCAACAAAACGTTTATTCGGCTATTTTCGCGACGCATCGGCGACGGCTTCGGCTGTTGAAGTAGAAGCACATGAGTAAAGAAACCAACTCCTTACGCTGTGATAGAAGGTAGAAGAGGACTCTATTCCCTTCGTATAGATGCGATATTAGAAATGAGAAAGTAAGTGTGCATGTTTTTAACAGAAAATAGTTCAAATTCCATAATTTAAGTGGCCTTGGCCCGGTTTAAATTAATCTTGTGTTTAAGTTTAATGACATGGTTTGTTTTTACTTTTTAGGCGCGTTTGTTAATATTTTTGTTTTCTTTTTGTGCAATAATAATAATTCTATACGAAACGGTAACAAACAAGTTTTCTCGTGAAACGGATATCGTTTCATTCGCAACGTTTTTCAATTAAACACGTCGTGAAACACTCTATTGAAGCCGCTATTAAAATAGAGTGTTTCAAAACCCTCTATTAAAATAGAGTGTTTCAAAACCCTCTATTAAAATAGAGTGTTTCAAAACCCTCTATTAAAATAGAGTGTTTCAAAACCCTCTATTAAAATAGAGTGTTTCAAAAGCCGCTATTGATATTCGATAGATAGTTTCGTTTCGTTACTCAAAGAAGCCGCTACTACCCACCGCTACTACCCACCGCTACAGCTCGGTGACTGACGTTTCGATGGCGTCTTCACTGTCATGGCCGCAGACGCACTCGTATATCAATGGCTCATGCCGATCTGTCGGCGTCGATGTCACTCCGAACATAGACGAACGCTGTTTTACCGACTGCTCCGGCGCCGATATCCCTCGTCCCGGAATGCACGGAAACGCGATGAACCCGCCGCAGCCTGATTTACCGACATCTCATTGTTGCGCTTTTCGAACTTCGCATTTGCGCCACTAGAGGCGCTGCCGCCTCCTTCACCTCGACCAATGAGAAGGCCCGATCTTGAAGCAATATGGTCGTCAAATCGATTGCACCGGAAACACTTTATTCGCTTTGTACACTAGTTGGCCAAGTGTTTATCTCCGCAATTGTAGCACCGCCGAGTGAATCCAGATACAGATGATTTTTTCTTTACAGCTGACTCGTCCCGCGCTTCTTTTTTCATGTCCGCCTGCATCTTTTCGTAGATGAGGAGTTTTTCCTTGAGAGCACTGTAGGTTGTGACACCGTACAATATTACTTTATTTGCCTGCAGGTCTTCGATTCCATCGATTATGTATTGTATGCCAACGTAGTCTGGAAATTTAGCTCTTTTACCCAACTCTTTCATGGCAAGCATATATTGGTAGTAACTCTCGTCTTTTCGTTTTTTTCCTTTCTCAGAGGTTATTAATCTCTTTAGTATTGATAACCTCGGGAAACTCTTTTAGCAGGGCCGCTTTTAGTTCGTCATATATTTTGAAAACTTTTTCGGCTTTTAACCAGAGACCCGCCGTACCACACAGTGATCGTCGTGCTATTATTAACTTTTGTTGCGGCGTCCAGTTGAATATTTAGGCACTATCTTCAATATCTTGCGCCCATTTTGATGAAGAATACGACTTGTCTTTCCCGTTAAATAGCGCCACCACCCCTTCGAAGCTGTTGAACAACATGGCGGTCGCCGCCGGCAAACTTGAGCCGCCGTTTTTACTGCTGCCGTTGTCGTACATTATATCGCCTTCTTTAATTAAACCCCGCATTTGCGTCTTATTTACGTAGTTATACGTCGTTGAACAATAAACTGCTCTGAGATCTGTACGTGCGCTCCACCACCTCGTGAGCGCTCGCGCAGGTCACTCCGTCGTTTACACGTCTTTCACTTCTTTCACTTTTCTTTGAGATATCCCGGAGGGGCCCCAAAAATGTGGGATTATCTCAAAAGAAAAGTCACGGGATCACTTATTTAACTTTTATTTTACTTTTTTAGTAACACCTCGTTCGCAAGTCGCGTTCTTCCTTGCTCTGTATTCGCCATCTTGCATCCCCTCTCCTCATCCCTTTCTCTCACATTCCTCTGTCTCTTTCATACAATTCCATTTCCCACACACACACACACACATATAAATATATATATATATATATATATATATATATATATATATATATATATATATATATATATATATATATATATATAATCGGAATCTCGGAAACGGCTCGGGGGCAATAAATCGATCTAGCTAGGATTTATATTTAGAAAATGTCTTTTTGTCCGTGTTCCGTTCCGTTCAGGCAATGAAAAACTGCTACAATATAAGACGGTAAATTTTGACACTGTCTTGATTGTAATACCTCAAGTGGATATTGAGCGGTCGCGAAACCATAATGCCTTGGTTCGCGTCCTGTCTTCGGTCCGACTTTTTATCCTTTTTTTTTCAAGTTCCCTTCTTTTGTAAGAAAATCTATTATTGCGAGCCGTTTTTTTAATATTTTTTCAAAAATACGAAAATTTTAATTAAACTAATTGCACTCATGGTTTTTTATTCAAATAACCAGTTAAGTTTTTTCTATTATGTCAATAAGATCAAAAAATATCATTCATGTTTCATCAGTATGTAATTTGTATCTAAATGTGATTTCAAAAAAAAAAAACGAGCAAAGCTCGGTCATCCAGGTACTATATAAATAATTTGCATAGTCAGGCTTTATAACGAACTCATTTGTTTTATAATAAAAACAACCTGCCCATGCACGAGCGCACGTGCTCACACACGTACATTGCCACTAACCACTAATATTATGTAATTACTAATTAGCAAGGAAGACATTGTTAGGAAATCGGCATATCAGAGAAATAAAATATATGTGCATCGAGAACATGTTGTGATTTCATCCACTCATACTGAAATAAAGTAGAATTGCGGACTCTTTTCCATATACACGATGCGTTTCACAAGTATCTCGGATCAAGTCGGAAACACTTTAGCCGTAAATTCCCGTGCATAGCTAGCATATAATACTAACTTCAGTTATAAGCAAAGGTAGGTGGATAGATGAATAGGTACAATTTATGTGATTGTTGTTAAACTTTAATTGCAGATACACACTTGTTAACAATTAACGAATATTATAAACTTATGTAAAAATAAATTATAGGCAATGAATAAGTTTATAGTGTATGACTCTTCTTGTAAGAAAAATATTCATACATACATAAACACTCACGTAGGGTAGGCAGAGACTAAAGACTTCCATTTGGCACGATCCTGACACACCTATCTCGCCTCCTCTACATCCATATACCTACGCATACATGCTCGTCGGTTAAAGGTACTCCTAATTTAGCCCATTTTCAATATATCACCAATTTGGTCGACAAACTTTCGCCTAGGACGTCCCGTACGTTTATATATTTATCTTAAATGTTCAATGTATAAATATTCAATAAAACTCTGGTTTCACTATAACATATCATACTTAAAATAAGTATTTAGATAAAATATTTATAAATAGACCCAGCCACTCTTAACTATGGGTAGGTACATTTACTTAACTATTATTTACATTCGAGTTGTAATTATTACCATATTTAAAATCATGTTGACTATAAAATAGATAGTTAAATATATATCATTCTTTTGACGGATAAATGAATGAATGGAAAGACTTACTTAGCTGTGAGCAATTTACCTTCGTCTGATCTAAGTACATAAATTCCCAGATGAGTGTTGTTACGTTTGCGATTTAAGGGTCCACAATCACTTGGATGTGCAGATGTGTTTCTTCCGTTAAGTTGTTTAGTCACAGAACAAACATGTGTTTTATAATAATACTGATTACCTTATACGACGCTGGTGTGTTTGAAGAGCTGGGATAAGAGCGACGTGGTGCATGTGCAGCGTCAGGAACCAGCACACAGTCTGGAACTTCGCGTCCGGCCATTTGTGATTTGGGTCTTTGTCTGGAAAGAATAATAACGAAAATCTTAGCTAACATATTAATTTGCTGTTTAGTGGTTAGTACATACTACATTCGTAGTCGTTTAGATCTGGGTTCGAAGCTTAGTACACAAAGTAGAAGGACAAAGGCGGCATCAGTTCACCTTCAAACAAAGGGCTCATATGCGTTGTCACCCCTTAGGACTACGCTGAAATGTCTCACAGCATGTAATTTAGGTGGTGGGGCCACGCTGCAGCTGTATTATGACTGCAGTAATGATTTCTTATATTTACGCGAACACTACAAATTGAAATAATACTAGTTTTTACGGAATTTATCGCGTATATTTAACTTTTTTAAATACCCGACGTTTCGAACGCTTTACAGCACTCATGGTCACGGGCGGGACTGAGATGTTCAACGTCCATGTGTCATAGTTAACCGCGGTTACCATAGATTAAAATTTAACTTTTGTTCCGATCTATACAGTATGAACTTATGGTATCTTGAAGTCTTGCAGTTGTATGCTTGGGTTGGGATTTAATTTTATTTATTATAGGATCCCAAGCAGATGGTAGCACCCAGCCATCTTCTCTATTGAAATTAGGATGTTTTTTGATTTCAATAGCCTCGCGAATCATCCTTGAAAGGAATCGGTGTTCTTTAGCGAGGATTTGCGGTCTCTGATCTCTGGTAAAGACTTTAGAGCCCTGATTCTGCTCTTTCCGTCGGTCGACACGAACGTTGAAAAACCACGGTTTAACAGAATACTTAACAAGATGCCGTAAAATATTTCGAAGTGTGCAATTATATCGGATATATCGCACTTGAGTCTTTCTTCGTATACGGGAAAGTGCATACTATGCGACGAGGTCGCTATTCGCCAAGGTTGACATAAGTACATACCGATTCTAGGCTATCACCTTTGTTCAAATAACTATGTATGATAACAATATGTTGTAAAATACAGGCGTAAAGACAAATCAAGTCTAACACGTTGTACTTCATATTATTGTGTTCAAATAGTAAGGTCGAGAAACTGGCACATTACAAAAATTTACACCGCGTATAACAATTAACAGTGCGGAGTTCAAATTAATAGTTAATCTAATTGTTGCGTGGGTTGTTTTCATTTAGCCCTATTTACTATTGTAATAATGCTTTAGAAGCGCTAATCAAAATCAAACATTTTCGATCTTCAAAGAGTTTTCCTTTAAATAAGTTATTTATATAAGTAATTTATTTAGTTAAGGTAATTATTTATTAGTTGTTTATTAACTTTTAGCTTCTGTTAAATAAATTGTACAAAATAATATATCTTTATTAACTTGCTAGGCAGAGGGACTCCTTTTTGTCTAGAAGTCCGTATCTAGGTACTACTCTCTTATTTGATGGGTAGTCATTCACAAAACTAATGCTTTATTTTACGTGTGGTGCAAAAATGATCTTTCTTAATTTCATACGTGGTAGAGTGGTGCAGCTATTAATAATTTTTATTTGTATAAAAATGTTGAAATTTTCTGAATTAAATGTAAAAAAATACAGTTATTTGAAAGAGCTTTTTAATTCTATCATAATTACATTCTAGTGGTTACAACCAAAAGGATAAAAAAAATAAAAAGAACAGAATGAATAGAAGAAAAATACCAAATAGAGCACAGTTAGGTCTGCTTTACAACTAGATTAAATGAGAATATGGTAATTAAGACAATCTGGTCTACCGAAATACTTCTTATGAGCTATCAAAACTTAATTTTTATGTAGAAATTGTACAAAAATACATTAAAATTATACATTTTGTTAAAAATGTAATTTCATTTAAATAAAAAACCAACCATGAGCAGTGACTCAAGGTAATAGTGACTAATAATACTAAATTCAAGTAGTATGCCACCTGCAACTTTACGGGGCACAGGTTCGGCCTCACATAGAATACTGTGACCTTCTCTAGGCTTGGGCTCCCCAGCGCCAGCTACTTCCATCGCATCCAGCGCGGAGCGATTCGAATCGTCGGCAAACGAGTTCTTTCTGAATAGCTTGACTCACTGACGCTGCGGAAAGATGTTGCTTCTCTCTTCGTATTTTATCGCATCTACCACGGGGAGTGCTTTGGGGAATTGTTCGGACTAATTCCAGCCGCTAAATTTTACTGTCGCACATCGCGACAATACTCGCGATACCATTATCATCCATATTATCTGGATGATGGGGGGTCCACTACTATGCGATTTGCAGAAGAAGTTTTCTTCCTCGCACAACTTCCTTGTGGAATCGCCTAACACCAGCGATTTTTCGGACCGATAAGACTTAAGTACCTTCAAGAAAAGAACGTACTCTTTTTAAAAGGCTGGCAACTCATCTACAATTCTCCTGGTGTTGCACTTGTTCATGGGCCGCGGTAGTCACTTACCATCAGGTGAGCCGCATCCTCGTTTGCCCTCTGTCCTACAAAAAAAAACTAAACTTAAAACTTACTGATCGCATCAAGCCAATCCTGGGCCTCTTGCGACGTGAAGTAAAGCCGTGTATCATCCCGTATGTTCACCCAAATGTTCGGCTGGAACGTGTAGAATGGATACACGCGCTCAAGCTTGATGCGGACAGACAGCAGCTGCAGTATCGAGCACACATTCAGCATGAACCCGTCGCCTGAAATGAGACAAAGTATTAATTACATAATATCACAAACATAAGTTATAAAATTGATTATGCTTATGATTTATATACTTAATTCCCTTTCAAACAATATTATAATGAAGTTCACCAAGCGTGACTAATAAAAATAATAATGTACTTCAGACCGAATTTCGGTAAAGGCGGGCAGCCTCAACGAAGACTAGCTATTGACACAGAACATCATTGTAGTGCCTAAGTGTATGTGTAAGCACAGGTGTACTCTTTATTCCTTCGCTCTCATAGTCCGATGGGACGGTAAACCGACACGACCGAAGAGATCAGACGCAGGTAAGATACCGCCAACTTCCTGACTTCGGGTATCTACTGAGAATTTCTTGACGAAATAACTCGATAACTGATTTTTTTTGAAGCGACCCGGGATTCGAACCCGGGACCTCATGATCAGCAGTCGCATTTTAATAACCACTAGAGCAACAAGGCAGTGGAAGCGTGACTATAACATAACAGAACATATATGTATACTCGTAAATAGTATATAAAATATTAATTTCTACTACTGTGAGAGGCGTTGTCCGGTATGGGTTTATTACGGGCAAATGAAGAACAATTGGACTACTAAAGATATTAATAATTACTTTGCAACAATCCGCTAAATTAAATAAAATGATGTGTCTTCCCTAGATTGAAGAGACTCTCAATACCACTATTCTAAGAAAGACACACCATCGACGATAATACGACACGTGTTTCGCCTCTACACGAGGCATCTTCAGGTGATGTTGATTATACGGCGGCTGACCGCTACGTCTTCTTCTAAATCTTAGCGGTCAGCCGCCGTAGAGTCAACATCACCTGAAGATGCCTCGTGTAGAGGCGAAACACGTGTCGTATTATCGCCGATGGTGTGTCCTTCCTAGAATAGTGGTGTTGGGAGTAGTGGTGCTGGAATTGGTGGTGACGGGATTAGTGCACGCAATTGAGGGAGAGCGGGAGGTAATCTTCAATCTAGGGAAGAGACATCATTTTATTTAATTTAGCGGATGGTTGCAAAGTAACTACTAATATCTTTATTACAATGGAGTTCCGCAAAGTAACGCCTGATTCTATCAATTGGACTACTATCAAATGGACTACATGTTTTCAGTTAACACATTCAATCATCATCATATTGAGGCTGTAAGTCGCTTTGAAGTGGCGGGCGGTGTAAAACATCTATCACCCCATAACGTTCAGCGGGTTTCGTAGGAGGCGAAAGAGTGAAAGAAACAGATATGGACAGCATTCTTCCACGGAATAGAGAGAAAATAAAAAACTGCGGTTGCCAACCCGACTGCCAAGCGTGCCAACTACGGCTAGTTACCCCTCGTGGGCAATCAATGGAGAGGCTTATTTTCAGAAATGGACTTTAAATCTGTAATGATAATGACGTCATCGTCAAGTGTGGTCAAGTAGATAATACGTACAGTCGTGAATTCACCGTAACAATAACGCAACTAAGTTACACCCGTGCTTCTATTTTGACATCCACTTTTACATTGTAGACATGTGTCAATCATGCATGATTCGTTCGTTTCAGCTGGTACACTTAACTTATTATATTTGTTTGTTACATCTTCGAGTTAAAAATATAATTTCGTCGAGTTCACTAAAAATAACACTTCAAAAGTTTTCATGATAAATGATTTATTTAATATGATAATTTTCAAATTGAATAAAACTAAATTTACGGATTTTATCGCGTTTATTTCACTACTTTTACTTATTTTTAATTCCCGACGTTTCGGGTGCTTTACAGCAACCATGGTCACGGGGGGTCTGAGATGTTTGACGTCCCAATGTCATAGTTAGTCCGGCTACCTTCAGTTTTTGAATATTAATTTTTGGTCCGCTGGCTGCTTGTAGTTGCAGCCGCGCGTCTAACACCGGAGCTCAGCTCAGCAGCTCAGTGTAATAGACATGTGTCAATCATTCATTTCTAGCGACCGAATCATTCTAGTACATTTCGTCACGCGTACTGGTGCATTCGGATCGATCATTCAAATGGATCATTTCAGGCTCCAGTACTCTGTGAATCTGTGACAGACAGATAGATCTATTGGGAACCGAAAATTTTCTATTTGAGATTTGTAATAGCGCCATCTACTACATGCTATAGATAATAGTCATTTTATCGAACTAAACTTATTGACTTTCAAGGTGATAAGTACAATCGATGCTAAATGGCATAGACACAAAAACCTCAAGTTATCATATATTTGATTAATTTGTTTATACTTAAATTTCATCCCTAACAATACACAATTTCATCTTACTTAACATGTCTAAAAATAGGAATCGTAACATTTATTTGCTACAAAATTAAACTTTTACCTATTTTATACTTATATAAGTGGTTGAAAATTATCATAATGATTTCTTAAATTTACGCGAACACTACATTTTTTGGTCTATAGACAACTCGTGCAGCCAATTAAATTGACGACAATTAAGACGACGCGTCCTGCCTTCGTGTAGAAACCTCAAGACTAATGAAGGTTGTAACTGCATGAACCAAAATATTCACATACGAAATTTTCGAACACCTGTGTATTAAAAATTGTATGGATATATTTGCAAGTTTATTGTGTTTGTGTATGATGTGCGTTGGTCTATGCATTTAATACGATTTTGGTATAAATAGGTTATTTAAAGATGAGTAAAGTTACAACTTTACTCATCTTAATTTTTTTTTAATAGAAGAGGGTGCAAACGAGCATGCGGCTAACCTGATGTTAAGTGACTACCGCCGCCCATGATCAACCGCAACACCAGGGAAATTGCAGGTGCGTTGCCGGCCCTTTAGAAAGGAGTGAGCTCTTTTCTTGAAGATCCCCAGGTCGTATCGGTCCGGCAAAATCGCCGGTGGTAAACTATGCCACAGATAGGTCGTATGCGGAAGAAACGTACAGTGGTGGACCGCCAAGCATCCAGATGGTGTGGATGGTATCGGGACGTTTACCGCGTAGTGTGTTCACGAAATTTGGCGGCTGGGATTAATCCGAACAATTCCTCAGAACACTCCCCATGAAAGATGCGATAAAATACGCAAAGAGATACAACATCTCTTCGCAGCGCCAGTGAATCGAGCCGATCGGGAAGAACTCGGTCGTCGACGATTCGAGCCGCTCTGCGCTGGATGCGGTTAAGTGGAAGGAGCTGGTACTGGGGAGCTCCAGCCCAGAGATGGGAACAATATTCCATGTGCGGCCGAACCTGCGCCTTGTAAAGTTGCAGGCGGTGTGCCGGCATGAAATACTGTCCCGCTCTGCGGAGCACGCCAAGCTTTTTAGAGGCCCATTTAGCCTTATCTTCCAAGTGACCAAATTATTTATATCAAAATCGTAAAATAACCTATTTATAGGTTAACCTAGCCCATCCTAGTCGCGGAACGTATATGGTCTGTAGACTATCTATTTCCTCTCATTTTTGAGAGTCTCAGCTCAAAGTAGTTTGTCTGAAACGGAACTGAACTACTTTCTGCGTAAACGGAACCAACGCGTGGTTTCGTATTTTTTTTACTCATTACGTTTTTATTTAACGCCGAGCACATGGTAAATCAGCACTTAAAATTTCATTGGTACCGGCGCGGCAGTGAAAGAACCCGCGTTGCTCGCGTAGATACTGTCAAATTTACAGCTAGCGCTCAGGCCCTAAGCTACCACGATACTTATTTTAAAATGAATTTATCGGTAATGATATCTTCACATTTTGATACACAAGCGACAATAGTTTTTTTCTGTTTCTGAACACTTAAAATAAAACGTAATTAACGAAATAAAGTAGAGAAATTAATGTGATACTCATTCGTATAATGACAATTAATGTTATAAGGATATCTTTGGACGGTATGTAGATATGGTAGTATCATATCTTTATTGTCTTGCATTTTCTTCATTAAGTAAATTAATAGGAGTCGTATTGTGCGCAGAGTCCATTCTGTTTACCGAAATGTAAAACGTCGCATTACAGACGCAAAACAGACAAACAGTAAACAAAACAAACGATTCTTGATAAAGAAACGGACGATATAATGATCTCGGAAAGTAAATAAATTGGAGTAAAGCCAATAGAAAATTGTGGCGAACACGAGGTGAGCGACATCCAACGTAATAATATTCATCTATTTTCGAAAGTCATTAAACAACGCCGCGTCGGTCGGGACCAACGATGTATAGTCAATGTTATCAATAACGTATGTAATATTGTCGTCTAGCGAAATTATTTCGAATAAATATAACACTCGTTACTCGCAGCTAGGTTTATAAAGTAAATAGACTTAATTCTTTCTGGAGTGATTTTTTTTTATAGAATAACGGGCCGACAAACGAGCACACAGTCCATCTGATGGTAAAAGGATTATGTGGCCCATAGACATTTACATATATCCTCGATTAAGATCCAAAATGCAGATACTTCGTTATCAGAGAACCGAGATGGAATACCTCGTTTGTAGTAAAAAGGATCTTCGTGTCTCTGCACTTATCACACGAAACAAAGCAGAATTAAGCTACTATTTTAAGTTTTTAAGTTGGTTACATACACGAAGAGATTTTATTTTTTCATGATATTTCTTTATTAGATAGCTAGTTGTTTTAAGTGTATAAGTTGTAGGGTCTACTTATGATCGTATAATTAATAAAATTAAATCCAAACTTAAGCATACCACTGCAAGACATCATGATACTATAAGCTTGTTCTGCGTAAACGGAACAAAAAATTAATGTTCAATAGCTGAATGAGGGTAGCCCGCGCTAACTATGATATTGGGACGTCAAATAATCAAATAAAAAAGTAGTAGTTTTTTCTGTGTCTAGTATTCTTGTAAATATAACAAATCATTAGTTAAAATACAGGTTTAGATTAGCATTTTCGACTTGAGGTGATAGATTTGGGGGATTAATGGGAAATTAAAATACATAAATTTTCTCTCTTGTTTTTTTTTTTTTTTTAAAAAAAAAAATTTTTTTTTACCTAAGGAGGGGGGGGGAATGTTTGTTGCCGTTGCTTTGTTGAGATCAATGGCTTGAAAGTGCCATTTTAAAAATATATAGTATAGTTTTTTACTTTGTTAAATATAAATAAACACAGGGCACGTATTGTATTAATTTTTAGAAAAAAAAAATAGTTAAGGCGCTACTCCTATCGAACGACCTTGAGTGTTCGGTCCTGTACAATCCACGCGCTCTCGCTACGATTTATCGCGTAGGAAATAAGCCCAATGTTTTGGAATTATTTAAATTAAAATAAGCGAACTTAAGAAATTAAATAGAACGCGAATGATATAGATTTTTAAATTATCTATCCATTAGTGTAATCCTCAAATGATTAGAGTGTTGCCTTTATCAACAGATGCATGTAATCAATAATTATAGTCATTTTTTAAAAGTTGATTTTAAATGTATTTATATCACATAAAACAAATTGGAACGTGGAATTTGATGATTGGATATCGAAAATTAATAAAGTGCTTTTAGATGTACTTTATTTCTCATAACTAATGAGATGTCTCTGAAAAACGCACTATCGCAAGGTTTTGGTCGGGGTATCGCCTTAAAACCACTCTTGGCATTGCTCTCTATCTGTTAGTGAAGTATCATTAATTTTTTTTCTGTTATACCAGTCTAAATGGCATGCAAATAACCGCAGTTCAAAATAACCACAGCTTAATATAAGGCAGTTGCTTCAATATTACATACAGACACTTTAATTCTATTTATACGTATAGTTATATACATAGTATCTTATAGCTACTCGGAGCAGTGTGAAACAGAAGACCTTACCAAGAAAATCAGTGCATTTGCCATTTTAATATACAAATTTTATGTACGAAACCTACTCATTTTATTTAAGGCATAAGGTGAAGATAAAGGTATAGTAAACGGCGATCCTACTTCGAGATCTCGATAATAAGCGAAACGATGTTACGTAATTATTCGCACAAAAGAAGAAAACCACGCATTGTAAGTAGAAACAATGTTTTGTAATTTTCACAATTTATGATTATAGTATGTAAAAAACGACAACAAATAATTTGAATGTATACAATATTACATTCTACTAGTCCTACTAGCTCGCGGCTCCACCAGTGAGGTAATAGAAACACCTTCATGGTCATATTCCCTCTGTAACTTTTACTACGTCGTAAAAACTAATCTGTCTGTGCTAAATTGCATCAAAATGCGTAAAACCACTTAACCGTGATTTAGTAACAAATATCCAAACATCTTTACAAACTTTAAATAATATTATTACAATTTATCATCATCATCAGCGCCATTACAACCCTTCAAAAGTCTTTATAAAAAACTTCAACTCGGTTAAAGCCTAACACTATTGAAAATAAGATTGAGTTTCAACTAAAACAGATACTCTCTTCTAGCTGGTGAGTGGAACATGTCGCTGTAAACTATGGCCAGTTTTAATGTCCTACCTACGTACGTATTAAAGACTATATCCCAACTGTAAGTACGAATATTGAAGTTGAGAACACCATGCCCACAGAATATATTTACATATAGATATAAAGACATTGCCTCACATCTGGCTATCAATTGTGGCAGAAAATTTTAACAAGCAAGTAGATGTTGTGGCGACGGGATCACCTGTATCTTTGTATCCCATTGTCATTGATACATTCATGGAGAATTTTGAGACTTTCAAATTCAGTTCACAGTGGAGTTAGAGATCATTTAATTTGTTAGCTTTCCTAGATGTTTTAATCATTTGGATTTATAATAACACCAATCATACTAAGAAGATTCATACTAACCAATATTTAAAATGGTTAATCTCAACACCATCCATCACGGTTACCTACCGTAGGAAAAGGAAAAGCTTCTATTTCAGAGAGTACAAGGAATCTATGCAGTAAACACCTGGCCATCGAGCAAGTTATGCAAGTATTGAAATAAAATAAGCTTCAGATCTCGCTCCAACGTCACAGTGACCGTTCAAAACCGGCCGGATTCGAGCGTGTCTGATGTACTACCAAATGACAATGGAGTCACAGACAAGATTAGCTTCATCTTAAAGAGAGCTATAAGAACAGCATATATCCATAAAAACATACTAAAAACCGCGAGATGATTAGGTAATTATTTTTTACTATCCATGAAGGGTAATATCTCTCTACGAGATCCAATATTATACAAACTTGGCTGTGAATGCAGTGCTCTCAAGAAAAACTAAGTATTTGTGAAACACCGATTCTCTGATTACTAGACTCCAAATTGCAGTAGCAAAGTAAAAACAAACTAAGTTGCTTCTTTGCTAATCTTATGTCGTACAGAGTAAGATAACTCTACTTTATTTGCTTCTTTGCATTTGCAGTAACAAAGTAAAAACAAACTAAGTTACTTCTTTGCTAATCTTATGTCGCTCTACTTCATTTGCTTGTTTGCATTTGCAGTAGCAAAGTAAAAGCAAACTAAGTTGCTTCTTTGCTAATCTTATGTCGTACAGAGTAAGATAACTCTACTTTATTTTCTTCTTTGCATTTGCAGTAGCAAAGTAAAAACAAACTAAGTTACTTCTTTGCTAATCTTATGTCGCTCTACTTCATTTGCTTGTTTGCATTTGCAGTAGCAAAGTAAAAACAAACTAAGTTTTTGCTTGTTTGCTAATTTTCTTATGTCGTACAGAGTAAGATAACTCTACTTCATTTGCTTCTTTGCATTTGCAGTAGCAAAGTAAAAACAAACTAAGTTGCTTCTTTGCTAATCTTATGTCGTACAGAGTAAGATAACTCTACTTCATTTGCTTGTTTGCATTTGCAGTAGCAAAGTAAAAACAAACTAAGTTACTTCTTTGCTAATCTTATGTCGCTCTACTTCATTTGCTTGTTTGCATTTGCAGTAGCAAAGTAAAAACAAACTAAGTTGCTTCTTTGCTAATCTTATGTCGTACAGAGTAAGATAACTCTACTTTATTTGCTTCTTTGCATTTGCAGTAACAAAGTAAAAATAAACTAAGTTACTTCTTTGCTAATCTTATGTCGCTCTACTTCATTTGCTTGTTTGCATTTGCAGTAGCAAAGTAAAAACAAACTAAGTTGCTTCTTTGCTAATCTTATGTCGTACAGAGTAAGATAACTCTACTTTATTTGCTTGTTTGCATTTGCAGTAGCAAAGTAAAAACAAACTAAGTTACTTCTTTGCTAATCTTATGTCGCTCTACTTCATTTGCTTGTTTGCATTTGCAGTAGCAAAGTAAAAACAAACTAAGTTGCTTCTTTGCTAATCTTATGTCGTACAGAGTAAGATAACTCTACTTTATTTGCTTGTTTGCATTTGCAGTAGCAAAGTAAAAACAAACTAAGTTGCTTCTTTGCTAATCTTATGTCGTACAGAGTAAGATAACTCTACTTCATTTGCTTGTTTGCATTTGCAGTAGCAAAGTAAAAACAAACTAAGTTGCTTCTTTGCTAATCTTATGTCGTAGAGTAAGATAACTCTACTTTATTTGCTTCTTTGCATTTGCAGTAACAAAGTAAAAATAAACTAAGTTACTTCTTTGCTAATCTTATGTCGCTCTACTTCATTTGCTTATTTGCATTTGCAGTAACAAAGTAAAAACAAAGTTGCTTCTTTGCTAATCTTATGTCGTATAGAGTAAGATAACTCTACTTCATTTGCTTCTTTGCATTTGCAGTAACAAAGTAAAAACAAACTAAGTTGCTTCTTTGCTAATCTTATGTCGTACAGAGTAAGATAACTCTACTTCATTTGCTTCTTACTTCTGCATAGTCCACTGCACTGCTGGCTGAATACGGGCTCAGAGGATCATCTTATGTGATTTGCAATTACATGGCCAGACGTCTCTTACTTTTGAAACTGCTCCACTTTACCGTGTATGCGAGATTGGTACATTTGTCAGAGGTAAGTAGGCGGTTTTTCCTACAGCCTCCTCTTACAATAGATTTCTTAACAACGCCACCCCAGATTATTCATACTCATTTTCGTATTTTAGCAAGGGAATTCACGATCCAATATTAAATAAGAAATACCAAGAAATACTTAAGAGTAAGCAGTATGAATAAAATGAAATAAACCAATAAATTAAACTTTATGTGAATTTATAAATCAGGATCAAATTCCGTCCCTAAGAGAAGCTTTGGTTGAGCATATGAATCTCTCAGGCAGTGCAAGCAGTCTCCAATTGGAGCTGTGCTAATATTGTAAGACTTAACTCAAAAACCTTTTGGGGTGTTCACAAGATTTGTCCACCTCTTTATTCTCATGAATTGTTGTCAACATACCACACATTTAAACCAAATAGTTTAACTTCCTCGTTTGTAATTCATACTGTAAAGGAGTGGAATAATTCGCATCTGTCTTTTCATTCGATTTCAATATTAATGTCTTCAAGCCAAGAGTGAATAGGCTCTTATTTAGCTAAGGTAGTGTGTGGTGGAATTTTTTTTTTCAATGTTTAAATGGGACCCTGAAGTATAACCAATTTAATAAAAGGATTGTTTGAATCATTAAAGCTGTTTTTGTGAAAATGGTTAAGATACATAAAAACGTATACTTTGAATATATAAGCTAAGAGCTTATATATTCAAAGTATATGTTTTTGAACTTGGTTAAAAAATTTATTCATATTAGTGTGATGATTTGTTATTTGAAAAATATACAAAAGTAAAGTTCTTCTTCCACTTACCCGCAAGTGATCTCTCATCAGTTCGAAACCGTACTCTCCGTTCATTCCGCTGCAACAAAACAGCAAAGTAGTTCAGGATAGGTTCCCTCGCTTCCTGGGAGAGCAGAATGTTGTGGCAGATAGTGTGGAGAGTGTTTCTGCTGGCTTCCACTTCGCGCTGGAGAGCAAACGCGAGACTTCGGTCTCCAGTTCCCGTTGCGAACAATCGTTCTGCGAGTCGTGGATTTTCCTCCGCAAAAAGCGATATCTGCGTTAATTTTAATAAATATTATAAGTATGCCTTTTTAACTAATTAAAGAGTCTTAAATCTAGGTTTGGCTCGAAAGTAGGCGGCAATTAGTACAAATGTGATAGCCAACCAAAGGTAAAACCCCTGCAGTGTAATAAGATTTTTTTACAAGCAGAGCAATATGTGGCAATTACATGATTAGGTAATTTGAACTGGATGCTAGCACTTTCTGTAAGTTAATATCGCAAGAAGTTATGAAGATATATAGGAAATGAGAAAAAGATCTTAGGGCTTCCTAGAGTTAACTGTAAGAAGCCCTAAAATCTTTCTCTTAGGTGTCAGATACGACACTTCAATCATCATGTTAAGCGGCCTGCCTAACACAAAGGCAAGACACTGTTGTCCATCTCTTGGTATGTTTTTCTCTGTGTCATCTCTTACAACAGCCGTGGGAAGATATAAGGTAGGAGATATTCTCACACTACCTCTACATGGATACCTTTCTCTGTGCGTTCGTCAGCCAGCACTGCTCATATGATACTTATAGCACAGATTAGATAAGTTACTATGTAACTTAGTACGGGTATTCATTAGGATTTCCATTGTACAAAACATGGTTAGCTATCAAATTAGAGAGGGAATAGCATTGCAGAAAATTGATTCAGACTTACTGCAAAGAATGGCCCCAGAAAACTGACTCTGGCGATTTCTCGGCCTGGTGCTGTAGTGACAGGGGCAGGACACAGACTTGGCAAGCGGGCGATCAGAGCGCAGACGGGGCGAAGAGCGTGTCTTGGCCCTGCTCGCAGTTCGCACAATGCGCGTAACGCACGCAAGGCCGGCCCGTGCCCTCGCCCATTGAGCGGCGATACGCAACGGCGCATTTCTTCCCTTATCCCCATCAACAAGGGCACAAATACCTGAGAATGATGTCAGCATTTATAAATAGATGAGATATAAATATTTATGATATACCTATATTTTACTTTCGGCCTAGGATTGTACACCTTTTACCTATTTCTCCTGCCTAGCAGCAGTATATCTACCATATTGAGCATCTGCTTAAAAATGTATCGAGAACCAGCAGAGTGTTCTATCTATCTCATCCTCAAAAGCTTAAAACGTACCTCTAGCGTTTATGTTTGCATTTAGCTGTAGATGTTCATTCCAATCATTTTTTTGGGCTGCAGTACCCACTTACAATATTGACTGTAAACTAAGTTACTTTATCGATATTTTACAGTTAAATAAGTCTTTCAAGCTTTTTTAACAAAAGTTAAACATAATTACCTCCTCAAAAGCTTCTTGATCCAAATAAGTTGCCAAAAGTAACTCAGGAAGCAGGCCAATTGGAGTGTTACCAATTAAAATATAAGGGAGCAGTGGAGATTTTCGGCATTTTCCCAAATTAAATTTCCCACGAAGCACTAACACTAAATGATTAACAAGTAAAGTTCTTAAACTTTGCAGCAAATCACTTAAAGGTGGCTCAGAGCTTTTTTTTGGATGTTCCCTCTCATATAGATTGATGTTGTTGTAAAAACGAAGAATGTAGCTAACAGCTAAACCTTGCGTAGGGATAGTTTTGGGTATAGGCAGTGTAGGTGCAGGGCATTCCGCTTTGTCCGAGTTTGTATCTGTCTCAGAACTAAGTGGTCCACTTGTCATAATATCATCACCACAATCCTCACTAAGCCTTTTTGATGTTTCGGAAACTGCAATTAACTTCTGATTTAATGGATCAGAACCATCTTCAATTTGTGTTATGACATCAATAAGAGCTTCTGATGCTAGTTCTTCTAAACTAAGCTTAGGGTTGTCAAGTAATGAAGCTGCTACAGTTGGTACAAATATGCCTCCTGTAATATAGACTTTGAATTACTTTTTGTTATATATAATATTCACCAAAAGTAATTATTATACAAGTCAACTATACTATTGAAGCTCTGTGAAAATTTTTGTCAACAAAAATATCATTAAAAGCACATTAAAAATCAAATTATTTACATGTATATGTATTATGATTATAGTAACTTTCAACTTCATCAGTCTGGGCTAAATAAACATTGGCCAGTCCCACTAGTGAGAATTTAACTTTTTCCACGCTTGACAAGCAGATTTCAATTGCAGCATCGGCTTTTATGCAATGTCACAGGAGATTTACTGCAATCCATTTAAAAATATTACAGTAACATATATTACTAAATCATGTAATAATGAACAATTCTTACCAACACTATCTTCAGACCAGGAAACCTGAAGGATCTTAGAAACAATATGGCGCAATTGATCTTCACTTAACTCAGTGCAGCTCAGTGTTCTAGATCTGTGTATTTTCCGTGCTGGTGATTGTGATATATCATTATCTTCCACCTGTCATATTGTACAGTTCATCAACGATTTTGGAAACAAAAGTAAATGAAGTTGTAGCAAAATGAACAAAAATGCATTTAAAACTCATGTAATACTTAAATTTAATGAATATTTACATGAAAAATTACCTGATTGGTTCAGCATGTTTAAATAACATCTTATTAAATAACAAATAAACCTTGCAAATAAAATAAACCTAAGTAATTAAAACATAGCTGAATAAATTAGGCATGTTTTCATGTAAATATGCCTTCAATATCAATATTTATTCCAAAAAATTTGCAGAACAGTTAATATATTAATTAAAACATAGCTGAACAAATTAGGCATGTTTTGATGTAAATATGCCTTCAATTTCAATATTTATTCCAAAAAATTTGCAGACAGTTAATATATTAAAGATCATCGTCATTATTACTAAACAACAGAGAACATACTTTACTCTGTACAAAACAAAGTATGCGTATTATTGTTTATGCGCACACTACATGTTGAATGAAACAATTTTTGCAGATTTTATCGTGTTTTATTATTGACCTCAGTACTTTACAGCAACTATGCTCACATTGAGACGCCAAACAGTCTCTCCTGTGACCACAGGGGATTGGCTATAGATATCCAGTACTTGATTTTAATTATGTTTTCAGTTTAGGGGGCTTGTCAGGGTTAAACCTTTTACACTGTTTTTGGATGTCGGAAATGCGTTTTGAATTAATTACGATAAAAACAAATTTCACTAAAAATTGCTTATAACAAAACGCATATATGTCAATTTATTCTCATATTATATAATAGACAACTGGTACTTGATTTTATAATTTTATTTTCAATTTGGGTTTGTGAGGGTTAACCCGAACCTTTTACACTGTATTTGGATTTCAGAAATGCCTTTTGAATTAATTACGATAAAATAAATTACACTAAAAATTGCATATAACGAAACGAAAATATATCAATCTGTTTTTAACACAGATACAATCATAAAATCACTTGGGCCCAGATAATCCATTTATGGCTGAAAACGGGACTCATAAATAACAAATTGAGTCACAGTGTTTTTCAGAAAACAAAATTATAACAGTTCACATTACATTATTTCATTTACCACTATCATAGCAGAGTTTAGGGCAACCTGACTTTATAGATACAATTGGTCAAATCAGTTCTAAAACTGAATTAGCACGCCCCAACTTCACATAGTCTTGTCTGCCCTAGCCCTAGTGTTTTTGTAAAGCAGTAGCCACGGAGGGAGTGCAGCCCCCACCCGCTGTAGAAATTGGAGACTTCTGAATGAGCTGTAGCGGCTGAGGCTGGTCGCCTAAGGTGACCAATAAGCCAAAGCTGCGGAGGCGAGCATGAGTGCCCGTGATTTGCTACGCAAGGGTTAAGTGGCTGTACTTCTCGCAGTGCCGAAGCCGTTGCAGAAGTAACTTTGTGTCAATATTCCTGTGTAAAAAAGTTTTAACCACCTAAGGTGATGTAAAGTACTCAAAACGTCAGAAATATAAAATAAGTTATTAAATGCGATAAAATCTGTAAAACTAATTTGAACTAAAAGATTGATAAAAACCCATGTAAAAGAACTCCTAGCTGATGTGAAGAATCACACTTCCGGAAGTCTGCAGTCTGTGAATACATATAGGATCACCCCTGCCACTAAATCAGAATTGATAGACAATAAATCCTAGCAAAAGAACACCAATTCTTACCAAAGATGATACTATGCAGTAGGCACGTCAATCTAAAATCGATTAATTAAAAATCGATTATTTGGAGTACAATAATCGAGATAATTAGATTGATTTGGAGCACCGCATCGATTCAACAAATCGATCCAAAAACCTCTCGAATCGGACTGATTTATCTGATTCAAGAACTAGCGATAAAGTTCTCAAACTGGCTGGGGTAAGATACCGCAGTTTTTAAATTTTTTTTTCAGTTCATAAACAACTAGTCCTACTACATTGATAATATGAACGCAATATATATTTGAATAAAATAAATATTTATGAATGTATCCAAATATATATATATATATATATATGTATTATATCTGTGAACATGTGTGACCTGTGAACTTGTGAATTTTATTACTTTAATGATTATCAAAAATATACATACTGTGAGCTGTGCTTGATCTTTGAGACATTGACAGGTACTGTCTGTACTACTAAGAAATTCAGGACTTCATAAGCGTGATTTTTACTGACAGCTGTCGCAGAGATCAAGCTATCTTTTATGAACTATAGTAACTATTTCAATAGCCCTGCATAGTAGGCACGTCGATTCACTCTTAAAAAAAAAACTTTTATGAACCATAGTCAACTACTAACACTTCGGGTATGTTCCGAAATACAACCCAGTACACTGTTAAATGCTAATGACGTCATCAATTGACACTATATTGTACTGGCGTGCCGCTGTCATATTGCGTCGGATGCCGGAAGCATGCCAGAATTGGTTTCTATTTATTCAAATACAAAAAATTATAGAATAATTGCTGGTATATCCATTAGGAGGATATAATGATTTTTGGATCACAAAATGACAAAATAATCGCCAACACTTTTCTAAATGGTGCAAAAGTATGACATCATATACTGTCCAATGTTTTGGAACGAATCACCAGCATAGCGTTTATTCATGACATCATTTGCATTGGACAGTACACTGCATTGTATTTCGGAACATACCCTACATTTTGTTAAATGATTTACATTTTTATATAAGGAGAGATTGTCTAAGCTAGAATGATGCACCCCTCCACAGCACATTTAATGCACACAAAATATGTATTTAGACGTGAAGTACAGACACTAGCCCATCAACATCAACACATTGTTAAATAATGTTACTTTAATTAAGTTTAAATTACCTCTATCTCTTTCTATACTCAAACAGTGAAAAGCTAGAGAGAGCGAGCAAGAGAGAGATAGAGAGAGAAAAAGAGAGACTTTCAGCATTTTTAAATTGATGTCTTTGTATAAGAGTGAATTACGCACCTCCATTGGTTCCTGATGTGATTGTTCCGATTGTGAATTTCTTTCTGAAGAATCATCTACTTCCATAGATAGAGAACGACGGGAACAACTTGGTGACGCATTACTAGTTCTTGGTCTTACTGGTGGAGGCTCTACAAATTGTGGAGGAGATACAGATCTTGATGTACTATCTTCTCGCGTTGATGCACCTTCTGAACCACCAACAGTTGACTGTGGCAAGCTACCAACCTGAACTGACCCGCAACTTAATAATGTGTCATCACCCATGGAATCAAAACTGTTGTACTGTCTAGTTTGGGAGAGATCAGTCATTTTAGTATCCGGCATCTCATCTAACAAATTGTTGTCAGTTTTTTCAGTCACAATTAACCCATCTGCTGGTATTTTATTTTGATCGGCTACTTCACTGTTACTGACTCCATCTGAGAAGTGTGTTTCCCTATTTGTGTTGACACTATCTGCTGATGTATTTGATTCTGTGGAGCCCCGAGGTGACGGTGATAAACGTGATGAAGGTTGCTGTGCGTTTATTATGTCAGAAGAAGGCACAGAGGCGCTCGGAGTAACGGGAGGGCTAGCAAGAGTTGGAGTTGAACTAGTACCGCCAAGAGCTGCTAACCGCGCTAACCGACGACGTCGTATCTATAACCAACGAAATTGATTCTTACTACCGCATGTAATTTTATGTTACGCACAACAAAACTTAACATCACCACACAAAAGCTTTGTTTTGTTACGAAATTAGATTGGCCATACGCAATACATATGCCAAGGTTCGTGCAATATTCAACTTACCTCCTCCTGACTTAATTCACTCATGACGTACTTTACTTCGTCGTATTTGAAGGAATAACTAATAGAATTTCTTCACAATTTATTCCTTTTTAGAAAGATCTACCAAGAAAGAACAACGGAGCAAGCCACACAACGTCAAACAGTCAGTCACCTCCTTGGCTCAGCTGAGTCGAATAGTTTTTTGACGTTTGTAATTGTTAGAGATGACGAGAAATTATTGAAAATACACGCGTCATCCTCAAACCAATGCTATTATTTTGTTATTTTGAAAAACATAATCTGTGTGTTGTATCCAAAGAGTATAGTAATAGAAACAAGATATGGAGTGTAGAGGTAAGGAGTACAGACTGTATAAAAAGTGTCCGTTAGGCATGAGACCGATATATCAAAACGTAACTAATAACGTTATGTTATCAAATATCATATTATATCGATAAACCTAAGTACAAGAAAGAGAGGATTTCTGTTTTGGTAATTTTAGTTTCACACGGTACGCAATGCACATCTGGATATAATTACCTAAAGCAAAAAGGTCGAATTTCAAATGGTTAAAATTGCCTAATTTTTAAGTTTGTTTAGTTGTGAGAGTTGTCACATTTATATGATTTTTAGGACAATAGACACAAGACTTGCATTTGTATGATCATATTATATTTGGTTTAAGCAACGTTATGTTTATGTTTTTTATATTTTGGATGGAACGTTTAGAATTTGCTTTTTTCTAGAACGCAACAATTACGCACTTGGTCTTGGTGGCTCCTGCTCGTGCCATTTGCTTTGCAATATTTGTGTGTATTTTGTGTATTAGGTAGTGTAAATATAATATAGCATAGTATAGTTTAAGTTGATTTAGACTTTTAATCATTTTAATATAGACTTTCAAAATGTCGCGTAAGGCTAGTAAAATATGGGTCTAGTTAGAGTCTTTCGACCAAGAGACGCGCGCCCGACCGATGTGCCTTGGTGGGAAAACCGAGGCAATAAAGGCTCGCGCGCTGCCCTCAAGCGCTCTCTTGCCTTCGCGCCGCTAGTCTGAAACGCATCACCTGGGGCAGTCGCGCCCCAGAAGTTACCGCCTCACATAGTGTGAGATATCGTCGCGCACCGTTCTCTTCCTTCGTACCGCTGGCCTGGATCACATCTCTGGGGCGCCCCAGAAGAACCCACCTCACGTCGCATCACCGCAACGGAAGCGTCGTCCGCCGCATCAAAATCACACCCCGGTAAGTGTGTTTCCTGTAATTTTGCTCCTACTTGAGCATTTTGTTTGTTAGTTAACCCGACCCATTTTGTTTCTCCTAATGTGCTCATGTAGAATTCCATCCTAACCTTGGCAAGCAATAGATTTGGAAGAGCGAGTGCATTGTCCAAGGTTGCCGCGTGCCACGTCCGACATATTGTTGAGGCATAAGAAGCCAACCGTGTATACAGTCCACCTAGTATAACATGTCGCACAATAGGGTCAAAGCTCGACCTGGGAATCGAACTCGGGAACCCCTAGGCCCGTCGCCCAACCAATTATGTTTACTTCTTAAGAATACACTTTAATTATAGACTTTGAAATCAGACTCTGATCCTACGTCTCAATTTGAAAAAAAATGGGTAACAAAATTATAGAAATAAATAAGGATGGAATGAACGTAATTTTATTCACTACACGATTCTCATCCACTTGGGTGTCATAAAAGGCGACATAAGGAAACTAATCAGGAGATGGGCAGCAATTTTTTAGGTTTATGCCATCTAGTATCTATCCTACATACCACCTTGAGAGTCAATCAATGTTTGTTTGATAAAATATCTTTACCTATACAACATAGTAGATTACTGAAGTGCACTCAGCTCAATCTTACTAAAATAAATGCATGTACCTTGGTAACTGTCTTAAATAAAATTAATATAAGATTAATATTTGAACAAAAACCGTTGTAATCTTGTAATTGTACTACTATACACTTTATGGTATATAATGCCCTGCGTTTCCAACTTGAATGATCGATCAAATGCCCAGTACGTACGTAGTGTTAACACACACCACTCTTCGTCATACAAAAAGGTTGAGCATCAGTATTTCAATCAAAGCCCTCCCGTATAAAGTTTAACTTCAAAAAAACTGTGGTTGCGGACCCACTTGCCAAGTGTGGCAACTATGGCAAATATCCCACCTATGATACAATCTATGAGGAGGCCTATGTCTTCAGAAGTGTATTTTAATAAGTTGTAACAGTAACGGTATAATTTATTACTGCATAACATTCATCATCATCATTACAGCCCTTCACAAGTCCACTGCTGAACATAGGCCTCCCCCAAGTAATGCAAAGCAAAGCACGGTCCTGAGCCACCTGCATCCATCGACTTCCTGCATATCTTACCAGGTCGTCACTCCATCTAGTGGGGGGTCGCCCTACACTACGCCTACCGGTATGAGGCTGCCACTCGAGAACCTTTCTTCCCCATCGGTTATCGGTTCTTCGAGCTATATGGCCGGCCCATTGCCACTTCAGCTTACTAATCTGTTGGTCTATGTCGGTCACTCTGGTTTTACTGCGGATATCCTCATTTCTGAGTCTATCACGCAGAGAAACTCCGAGCATAGCTTCTCCATAGCTCGCTGAGCGACCTTGATCCAGACCAGTCAGATCCGTAAGTCATCACTGGCAACACGCACTGGTTGTACAATCCAGTTTTTAGAGATTGAGGTATACCTGACGAGAAGATATGTCGTAATTTCCCGAACGCTGCCCAGCCAAGTTGAATCCGTCGATTGACCTCTCGGTCGAAGTTGGACTATTTGTCCCAGGTAAACGTACTCGTCAACAACTTCGAGCATAGTGCTCCCAACAACTACCGGCATAACATTGAATATACAAAAATTATATATTAACCCATTCCATGCCAGCAACGCACTCGCGTGCGTTTTAGTTTTTTTTACTTGTGTGCCTGCAACGCACCCGTATGCGTGTAGTGTATGTTTTAATAAAGTATCATTTATTCACTGTGCGTTGCATTATTGTTGCCATTTTTTAATACACCTCAATCTAGATTATATTTCTGATATAGCAACACCGTTACAGTAGTAAAAGAAATGTCACATTTGAATTGACGCCGGTTTTTGTGTTTGTGATTTTTGCTAGTATTATAAATCAAGTTTTTACAGTGATTTAGGTGTTAAAAGGTAAGTAAATATGATTTTTTAATCAAATTTAGTCATTTATTTATAACAACAACGTAATTTTAGGTCTACTGATAATATTTTGGATAAATTTTGAAGTCCAAAATATACCAACGCTAATGTTGCGTTCAATGGCATTTATGAACGACTTTGTTCATGGATGGTGTTACACATCGACAATAATCGGTCGCTCAATGTTACTACTGCTATTGTAACTTTATAATGTTATTTTATAACTTGAGATATTTTACTTCAGTGTTCGTATTACATAACCTACCTACATGGTACAAAATAAAACCGTTTGTGAAAAAACGCTTTTATTTTTAAATTTGAATGTGATGAATTGTGTAAAGTAACTAGTATTTTTGTCGTTTATAGGTCTTTTGTTTTCTCCTCAAGCATTATGGCAAATAATAATAGAGGTCGTCGTTTGGTTGAATTGTCACTTAATACTGCCGAAGGTACTAATTTAGAAGCTAGTAAAAAAAGTTATTCACAAGATAGGTACAGACAGTTGATCTTTATCTATTAATATGAATGGTTAGAATGATTTTATCTATTTAAAATCAATATATCGAATGTTGTTATTTTTTAAAGTTCAACAAATCGGATAATAAAAATGTTTCAGAGATAAAAGTAGCACATCAGGTTTAAAGCGGAAAAGGGCGAGCTCTTTATATACGGCAGTAGAAGTGGAACCTAAGAATATTCGGCGAAATTCTATTGAAACACGATGCCCAATATTGCCATTCCCACATTCTGTTCAAAGGTAGGTAACCTACACATTTCTTTTCTTTAGTTTTGAGAGTATTTTTAAGTTTAGTTTTTCAATAGAATATTGTTGTTTCAGTAAACAACAACTACCTAGGTGGATTGAAAAGTACTCGGCCTAACAAAGATCCATTCAATTCTAAAAATCAAATCTACCCACATTATTTAGTTCAGTTCAGACTAGTTCATTGTGTGAAGTTCGAAACGTGTGCGATAATTAGTTGTGATTTTATAAATTTATTAACAAAGTAATCGGACATAATTTCCGCGAATGGAGCAAATCGAGCAGCGTGCCGTCATTAAGTACCTCCATAAGAAGGGGCTATCATCAAAAGCCATCCATGATGACATGGTCAGTACATTAGGCGATTGTGCTCTGTCATATTCATCCATCAAAAAATGGATAGCAGAATTTAAGCGTGGTAGAGAGAGTGTGAAAGATGAACCCCGCTCTGGAAGGCCTTCGACGTCAACTACTGCCGAAAATATTAAAAAAGTACTTGATTTAATAATGGGAGACCGCAGATTAAAAATTAGAGAAATAGCCGAGATTATAGGCATCTCTTATGAACGAACTCAAAACATCATTGTCAACGAGTTGGGTTTCCACAAGGTGTCTGCGAGGTGGGTTCCGCGACTGCTTTCAGTTGAACAAAAAAGGACGCGATTGACTATTTCACGCGACTGTTTGGAGTTATTTGAAGCCGATGCAGATGATTTTTTGAATCGTTTTGTTACTATGGACGAAACAGGGGTTCATTACTGTACACCGGAAACAAAAAAACAATCAAAACAGTGGAGAAGACCTGGTTCACCACCCCCTAAAAAGGCTAAGTCGATTTTGTCGGCAAATAAGGTGATGGCTTCAGTATTCTGGGATTCGAAAGGTGTGATTATGATTGATTATCTTGAAAGGGGTCAGACTATAAACTCTGATTACTACTGCACCTTACTACGTCGTTTACGAGAGGAAATAAAAGAAAAACGTCGAGGAATGCTCAGAAGAAAAGTCCTGTTTCATCAAGATAACGCCCGTGTTCACACGTCAGTACAGTCAATGGCTGAAATTCACAACTGTGGCTTTGAACTGTTACCGCATCCGCCGTATTCACCTGATCTGGCACCATCAGACTTCTTTCTGTTCCCTAACCTAAAAAAACACTTGGGAGGTCAAAGATTTTCGACAAACGACGAGGTCAAAGCAGCTGTAGACGCATATTTTGACTCTAAGGAAGAATCATTTTTTTTAACGGTCTAAATGCTTGGAAGGGGAGGTGGCAAAAGTGTATTGAACTTGATGGTGATTATGTAGAAAAATAAAAATATAACTGATTTAGTATGTGTTTATTTTCTTGGTTAGGCCGAGTACTTTTCAATCCACCCTCGTATTCAATCAGTCTCCAGTACTTTGCACATCTTCTAGTGGTGTAGTTAAAACTTGGTCTGTCGAAAATGTGTCAGAATTACATTCAACTTCGAAGACCATTGTAATCGATCGTTGGTTGCCCTAGCAGACTGTGATAACAAATCATTTACTAAAATCTTGTATAATGTATTCTGCTAGAATACCTACATTGCTTAATCTTTTAGCTTTTTTTAGATACTGTTTTACATAACTATGTTGAAGCTCTTGGGCTAAAATATTTTCTGTATTTGCTAAATAAATATTTTTCATTTTACTATAATAATTATTATGAAAATACGTACTTATAATATAATTATGAAAAAAGGAGAATTAAAGACTGCTTTGATCTTATATGAGTATTTTTATTTCTGTCACCTACCCTACACCCTAACAATTTAACTATTGGTTCATGTTTCCCAGTCGTGCATAAAGCCATCCACTATATACTCTCAAAAGTGCGTTCTCGGATCTTTCGAAAAACTTTTTTCATCATGTGCCACCCACGCACCGTATGCGTTTGGTGTATTTTTTCGTATTTATCAACAATATTTATTTAAAAAAAAATCTAAATACATCATTAGTAATCCATTTCCTTCCATAAAACATAATAAAAACTGGTGGCACCTGGTCAACAACTTTTAAAAAAAGGTGGCATCGAATGAGTTAACATACATGTTTAATATTACATCTAAGATAACAATAACATTAGAACCTCTGACTTCTAATCTAGAATAATCTATGTAATTCATAAATACATGTTGCACCGGTAGTACAATTTGCGGTTATGGTTCGGTTGTCGTTTGCACAACCATTACTATTGATATCGATATCTGAAAACGGTTTTCAATAACGATATGAAAACTAGATATCGGTTATGTAACCGTTGCAGATAAAAACTCATAACGCCCATGCTTAGTGTCCGTAGGAAAGCGTTAAAGTTGTGTTAAATGGTGGCGCCACTGTAGCTACAGTCTAAATTTTAAAGAACTTTTTAAATTTTTTTATTGCACATTCCCTTCTCTCTTGGACTTCGTTCAGTATGGACGTGTTTCATTTTTAGGTATTAAACAAAATTTATTTAAAATTTCAATTCATTTAATTTTACGCTATATAACAGGACCGCAGAAATCTTGTGGAGGTGTTGAGATACTAGAATGAGCCTGATGAGTGAAATAAACATACTTGTTTGCGCTTCCATTGCTAATTACTGCGCTGTCATTGGCTTCCGTTAGCGATGCCTTCATGCGGACTTCTTTACTGCTTGCGGAGGCGTGTCAACTCTGCATCGCGCGTATCAACTTAATAGTCATCTGTCTTTCTCATCAAGTTGCCGACAGAAAGTTTAACCGCGCTTGAATTTAGGCCTACTCGTTGTTCTTTTATGCATACGACTAATTGATTCAAGCTTTACTTAACTTTTGCTTTACAAAAATTGAATTATGCCGCTAAAACGTACACCGAAGACTCCTCTTTCAAATAAAACTAGTAGTTGTACGCTAGAAGTCACTGCTACACCAAAAACAGAACAATCAAACTGAGAGAAAAACTTATCTAATTTCGAAGATACTTTTGTTACTACTAGGCGAAAAAATGATAATTTAGAGTTTCATGAGAGAAATGAAAGAGATGTCATCAACTGCCGCCTCGCAAAATAAACAAAAAATGTCATATAAAAATAGATAATGAGGAGGAGTCAAAGAAAAGTGAACTAGTAATAAGTGTCTTAATGTCTCTATTAGTTTTAGTTCTATTGTTATTCAAAACTAATTTAATATTTTTAAATAATGTTTATCTATTCTTACCGTGTATAAAATGTAACTTACTTTTAACTGTTCAGACTACTCACCTAATACTTATTTCACTTATTTACATAATACATTCAAACACAACACAACTCAATCACACACTCATTAATAGTATAACAGTGGTAGAGCCACGCGGCAGCTTTGCTGTTGCGCGTATGGGCCGGCTTAAACCGGGGTGGTACCACGACCTCACAGAGTAGCGGCGTGAAGTGGAAGCTTTGCTTTCGCGTTTCGTCTGGTGAGTGCAGGTGGCCGGAGGCCTAAATCCCCTCCCCCCATCAACATGGTAGCGGAATTAAATACCAAATTACCCCAGGAGCTATATCGCTGAGCATCCACGACCAAGTTACTTACTTCCTGAGCGTGGGTGCTCAGGCTGCCCCGCGTATTCTGGAGGGGGGGGGGGGGCAAAATTACGCTCAAGACTACAATTGCTCGGGGCAAATGGAGCAACAAGACCAAGGCGACCCCTACCACGCTATCCGTGAATTACTGCAATATCAGGGGACTTCACTCTAACCTAAACGCCGTCCACTACCATCTCGAGACGGCGAGGCCGGCTCTGCTCTTTCTGACCGAGGCGCAGGTGTCCTCTACGGCTGGTGTCTCGTATCTCTCCTACCCGGGGTACAAACTGGAACACTTCTTTGTCCCTCGGGCTGGAGTTTGCGTTTACGTCAGAAAGCATACCTGTTCTCGACGCCTCGGCAGTCTTGAAGGTTCGTACCTGTCCATCCTTTGGCTACGAGTAGACAGCGACGACCATCCGCGCGTCTACGGGTGCCTCTATAGGTCCCATAGCGGTAATGCCGAAATAGACTGACTCTTCGACCACGTGCAAATGGCTACAGATTCGTTGCTACAGCAGATCCCCTCCGCAGAGATCGTCATCCTCGGCGACTTTAACGCCCATCACGCCGAATGGCTTGGTTCACGTTTAACCGATCATGAGGGGAGATCTGTTCATGATTTTGCCTTGGCATGTGGTCTGACACAACTGGTTACTTCGCCTACGCGGATTCCAGATTTCGAGGATCAAGCATTCCCTGTTGGACCTTCTGCTGACCTCACCCGGACGGATATCAGATTCCGTCGACGCCCCTTTAGGCTCCTCGGACCATTGTCTTGTTTGGGGTGTGGTGCCACTCACGCTGAAATCGCAGTTGCATCCTGCAGGCTGCCGCCGTGTTTGGCACTATAGGTCAGCCGATTGGGATGGGATGCGGTCTTTCTTTGCATCCTACCCTTGAGGGCGGGTTTGCTTCTCGCCAAACGATCCTAACATTGTTGCGGATTCTGTCGCTGATGTGCTACTTCAGGGAATGGAACTTTTTATTCCTTCCTCTGTGGTGCCCATCGGAGGCAAATCTCAGCCATGGTTTGGTCGCTCCTCTAAAATAGCATCATGCTATAAGCAGGAGTGCTACCAAGCCTGGGCTGACGCATCAATGTCCCGGGATGTAAACACCAGCGCTCTAAAACAGAAGTGTAATTCTGCCTCTAGGTCCTTCAAAAGAGTCATTGCCAAGGCAAAGTCAGAACACATACTCAGAATTGGCGAGAAACTACTTCACCTTCCTTCTGGAACCCGTGCATTATGGTCTCTCGCGTAGGCTGTCCAGGTGAATTTCTGTCAACCATCTCTTCCATCTGTACACAGGGAGGACGACTCACTGGCCCAAACCGCAAAGTAGAAAGCAGATCTGCTAGGCTCTTTCTTTGCGTCCAACTCGGCTCTCGATGACGGGGTAGTACGCCGCCGACCATCCTGCGGTGTGAGTGCTCCATTTCG